TCTGTGACCCTTTTATGGATTCCTCAGGCACTGCATGCACATTTTAGACATGCCAACAAAACACCCACACACATAAAATAAAAATTAATAAATCTAGCCGGGTGGTGGTGGTGCACACCTTCAATTCCAGCATTTGGGAGGCAGAGACAGGTGGATCTCTGAGTTTGAGGGAAGCCTGGTTTACAGAATGAGTTCCAGGACAGTCAAGGCTACACAAAGAAACCCTGTCTTGAAAATTCAATAATAATAATAATAAATCGTTTTTAAAAACTGAAAAGAAAATGGTAGGAGATATTAACGTTCCTTTAAACTGGGAGATAGAACCCACACAAAATGCATTCAAAGACAGGGATATACCTGAGACAGGCCAAGGAAACCACTGGGAGCTAACTAAGCATTGCGGGGGGGGGGGGGGGGGGCGGGGCTAAAGAGAATATTTATTTTCTAAAATTATCAGGGACCCTAGTGAAGACGTTAACATAGTGGACTATGTCACACAGACATGAAAGCAGCCTGACCTCAGGAACTCGCAGGGATGCCCAGGCCCACCTGGGTAGAGGCGTGGCCTCGGGGCCGGGACACTCTGGTTGTCTCTGGGAGTCTTTGCACATCCAGTAACGGGAAGGAGAGTTATGAGAAAAGGGAAATTGAACTACAAGGGTTGAGACCAGGAAGGCAGCGCTCAGTGCCTAGCAGCTTCCGGGATCCACAGCCGGCAGGCCTCCATCCTTTCTGGCTCACACCTTCACTACTCTGCCAACAGCTTACTAACTAACACAAGGCTTGATGTTTGCGTGAAGGAATGAGAGAGAGCCTGCACTGATTAACGACTCCCACAGATCAAAGGCGACGGCGCTGGGTTCCATAGTCACACTGCGCAGCAAGGAGGAGCTTTTCATCGGGGCCCGCAGGGTTCGGCCACTTGTTATTCAGCTAAGAGCATGGGGTCAGGACCACAGAGCCACCCGCGAAGCCTTGCTGGTGCATACAGAGCGCATGCCACTTCTCTTTCAGGCTATTCAGGGTAACTCTGACGTCCAAAACACAGCTGTGCGCCACCGAGTCTGCGGGTGCCAGTTCTGCAGGGAGGGGTGGGGCCGTCTTCTGGGTGGAGAGTGGACAGAAAACTGTCGTCTGTTTCAGGAGGTCTCTAAAGCACGGTGATTACAGTCTGACTCTGCAGCAGGTGTCTACCTTAACCCAACTTCAGCTTTAACAGGCAGTTCCAATGCAAAAGCAGCCAACAGGCTGGACAATGTAAGAAGGGGAGGACAAAGAAAGCACAAGAGTCTCCCGGCCGCTCCTCCAAGCACCTTCAATGGAGAACTCTAATGTAAGAGGGTTCCGTCTAATTTGGCCCATGGATGGAGGCTGGACCAAGTGACTGCTCCCTTCCCATCCTGGGAGAGGACCACCTCTTTGAATTAAGCAATAACAGCCCATTTGACCATTCTCTCTATTATTAAAAACCACCAAGCTGTGAGACTCACAAACCTCCTATGAGATCACTATAGATCTGGCTGCTTTAATTTGACTGACGCTCATGTTGGATCTAAATGTGGCCCTTGAACAATGAGAAAGTAATAAGGTACTGCGTTTGTAGCTATTTTCCTTTTCTTAGGAAATATGCCCTTCGAAACCAAGCTAACCAAGTCCTTTACTTGGCAGCCGCATGCTCTCCATAACCAGGTCTGAGAGACAATCAAGATGGAGACAAAAAGGCAAAGGCTCAGGCCTCAGAATGGAACGGAAGCCTATGGGGATGAGGTGGAGGGCTTCCCAGGATATGGAGGGGTTCCCCACAACAGGTTCACAAACAGCTGCTATTCCCTGTCTTCCCTGGACCAAGGTCTTTGGTGTGGGCTCAGCTGCTCATGGGCTGGTGTACCAGCATCTTCAACAATCAGTTTGAGCAAGTTCTATAGTTCATGTACCTTCATGTGCGAGAGAGACAGAAAGAGAGAGACAGACAGAGAGAGAGAGAGAGTGCGCACCTGAGACTTTAGAACTAGGGATGGATTTTATTTTCTGGTTTTTGTTTTTTTTTGGGGGGGGGGCGGTTGTACAGATTCTTGGAGGCAGTAAGCTCATCCAACTAAATTAAGTCGTCACTAGCTACTGTGACAGGCTTCCAGCAGCCAGTATACACAGCACATTCCAACTAAAGCAGTAAGGCAGGATTTAAGGGGCTCATTTCCCACAGATAAACGGCAGTGACGCACGCTCTATTTTATGTCCTCCTCCGTCCAAACGCACAGGGAAGATACACGACCACTGTCTGCCCTCCCGATTCCCACAGAGCCCGAGATACACGGATCACCCTTGAGCGCTGCAGAGAAAAATGAATTGAGGAATCGCAGGCTGATATCCTGGGGAGAAAAGGCTAAAAACACCACGTTAGGCACACAGCAAGTGCTCTTCGTCGACGGATTAAGTCAGTGATGTCTCGAGTTTTGCTGCTGAGTTTGAATGTGCTCAGAGTACAACCAAAAAAACAGATGACACAATGTGTTAAGTAACAGTGGTTCTCCCAATGGCAGCTAGGAAAAGCTGTCTGTCTGCCTGACCTCCTTTCCACTCGCTCAACTACAGTGAAAATTTACATCTTCTTGGCATGCATTCCTTAGAGATCACTTCTTTCCTTCGCCCTTCTTTCCCCCTTCTTTCCTTCCCCTTTCTTCCTTCCTCCGTCGTGTCTTCTATCACCTACTCTCCGTTGCCTTTTCATTCTTACTGGGCCCAGCTCTCCTGCTTCGTACCTTGCCAAACTACTTTCAGTCCACTCTCAAAGCAGAATATAAACAAAGAAATGGCATGATTTTTTTCCCCCACACTAAATGTTGGGGGCAAGCGGCATCATAATGAGTGTTCTCATAGAGATGATTGGATTTTGGGGCAATCAATATCCAGACTTGGCAGACGTTCCAGAAAACCAAGGCTGCATAGAGCGCCTTCCTTACAGGACTTGTTCTGTGTCACGGGTATCGTGTAAGCCACAGTGGTGTCCACTGGTCTTCAGGGGACCCTGTCCCTGGAAGATCGCATTTTCAATCTTGTTTAAATAATGGTAACCCTAAACCCAACAGCAGGAGGCAACTTGTAACTATGAAGCTAGTTTAAGGACGGACAGATAGGCACACATACATTATTAAACGAGGTAAGCCATAAGCCACAAATGCAAATGACATAGAAGAGTAATTCTGCCCTAAGAGATGCAGAGATGCTGGCTGAAGTGGGCAGGGCCAGCATCCAAGTGGGATTGGAATTGATAAGGCACCCATTATTAAAAAAAAAAATCACTGAACAAATCAGCTGTTTTGTGCCCTGCCCACAGGAAAGGGTACCCTGACCAGCAGGCATGACTGTACCCATCTGCTTGGCAGGAACAGTGTGTTACTATGAGGACTGTGTGGGCTGTCTAATATAGCCAGTGAAGCTCATCCCATTTTCTGAGCCTGTGCCCGCCACGCAGCCTTCCAAAAGTAATGGGGCTCACTTGCTTTCTTTAAAGATTTATTTTATCTATGTGCATGCATGCATGTGTATGTGTGTCTGTGTATGTATGAGACAGAGAGAGATAGAGATAGAGATAGAGATAGAGAGAGAGAGAGAGAGAGAGAGAGAGAGAGAGAATGAATATGCAGGTGGGAAGGCTTCAGAAGAGGGCATCAGACCACCTTGAGCTGGAGCTGGAGTTAAACAGCATGGTTTCTGGGAAGCAGACTTGGAAGTAATAGATGTAAGTGTTCCTAACCATGGAGCCATCTCTCCAGCCCTCAGTAATGGGGTCTTCTAAGTAATCTGCCCTGAACCGGAGATGTCAGGACCCCCCACTCAGAGCATCCCAGCCAACAGCTCCTTTCCCCGGAAGCTGATGGGTTGGCATTCCATGGGAAAGCCTCGCATGCCCTCCATCTGTCTGTCTGTTAGCCTGGATCAGTCCCTGTGGAATGGACCATGATGGTGAGCACGGCCAGAAGATATTCCAGAAAGAATGGAGGTGTGAGTCTAGTGAGGTCTTCCCATAGTAAACCTCAGGAGAACTCTCTCCAGCTTGGTACACTTGTCTCTCAGAAAGGGCAGGGATGTTAGACTGCTCTTAGAGAAATGATCTCTCATCCAGACAACTCCTTCCCACCTAGATCATACCAGAGGCATGAAAAAGACATGAACAGGACTGAAGAGATGGCTCAGGAGTTAACAGTGTGTACCTCTCTTCCAGGACCCAAGTTGGGTTACCAGCATCCACGCCAGGCGGCTCACAATATCCTGTAACCTCAGCTCCAGGGACTCTGACACCCTCTTCTGGCCTCCACAGGCATTGCACTCATGTGGCACATATTCACACACACACACACACACACACACACACACACACACACACACGTAAATTAAAAAAAAACAAACAAACACATGAAGCATGGGACTGCACCTGAAACCCTTGCATTGGGAAGCAGGGGGATTGTAAGTTCAAGACCATCCTGGGCTACACAGCAAATCCTCATCTTAAAACCTCTCTTGTTTCAAAAATAAAATAAAGCAGAATCTATGGCTTAAAAGAAATAGTAACACAAATGAAACCAAGGAAAAACAAAAGTCAAACAAACAAAAACAAAGCAAAACAAAAATAAGTCCCAGGGTTAAGGTATAAAGACTACTATAAGACAGAAATTATTAATTTCTTATGATTATTAAAAACTAAGGTAGAAAACTCAAGTACACCAACTCCAGCTGAAAATGAATTTCACATGTAACAATGATTGCTTAAAATAAGGAGAACAGGGGGAATTTTTCAAAGTGCTCAGGAAGGAAGATCTTACCGCATCAGCTAGTCAACAAAGAAGTTTAGCTACACAAGCTATTTTAACACCCACTATCCACACCCATGAATCGTTCTCCCCCTCCTCTCCTGACATCTCTAAGAGTAAACAAAGACACTTGGCGCCTACTCTCCTCCCGGCTAAGACCTCCTGAACCTGCCAGAGTGTTCACAGACTAACCGTCAGTGCCTGGATCTCCTCCTCTGCTTCCGCCGTTGTCTCCTCCAGCTCTGTCTTGGCCTGGCGGAGCTGGCCCTCCAGGGCCGCCCTGGCTGCCTGCAGGGCTGTCAGTTGGGACTCTCGCTCCTGCAGGGACAGCTGCAGCTCCGTGAGCTGGCGTTTCAGCTCCAGCTTCTGCTCCTCATGCTCCAGGCTGACCTGAGGAAGAAGAGGTTACACGCTCAGTGGACTGTAGAGAGAGACTGTGAAGATGAAGCAGAGCCTGCAGCTTAGACCTGGTCTTGGCCAACAGCTCAGCCTTGTCAGAGGGTCCATGTGTGTCTCAGAGCAACAGCACTAAGAAATAAATACAGCAGGACTTGCAGTGAACTCTCCCATGGGTTCTGCCTCCATGGACTCATTCAACCATGGACTGAAAATATTCAGAGAGAGACTGTGTCTGTAGTGGACATGCTTGAACACATAACACATACAGAATTGTCATCTTCCCCTAAGCAGGAGAATGAAGATTTTGGTTTTACTTTTTTCTTTCTTTCATCCTTTCTTTTGATTTTTCAGGAACTCACTCTGTAGACCAGGCTATCCTTGAACTCAGAGACCCACCTGCCTCTGCCTCCCAAGCGCTAGGATTAAAGATATGCACTACCACCGCCCAGCAAGTTAGCTTCTTGGAGAACAACTGCATAGTGATGTTGTTTCGTGTGACCCAAGGCACTTGTGAGATGTGTGTAGGTTATATGCAAGTACTTCCCTATCTTTGAAAGGGCACTTGAGCAGTTATGGGTTTGGGTATCACTGAGGGAGTCTTAGAGCCGTGCCCCAATGACTATCTCTAACTCACAGACACTTAGATGCAGCCACAAGTTTGGGCATCATGGAGGGGAATCCTAGAGCCGTGCCACAATGACCATCCCTAATTCACAGGAACTTCGATGAAGCCACGGGCTTGGGTATCATGGATTGCCCCAATGACCATCCCTAACTCATAGACACTCAGATGCTTAGGAAGGCTTCCAAAGAAAGATAAGACGGTGGGAGTCTCAGATGGAAACTGGATTCTATTTCTCCTCAGTATTCTCACGCTGATTTATTCCCATTAGATAGTCTACATGAATGTCCTATTTTGAGGTAAGCACTCTCTGCCAGCCCAATCATCCACTCAATATTTTAGGCATCCATTTTAGAACTTTTGTTTGTTTGTTTGTTTGTTTGTTTTGAGACAGGGTTTCTCTGTGTAACAGTCCTAGCTGTCCTGGAACTAGCTCCTGTAGACGAGGCTGGCCTCGAACTCACAGAGATCCGTCTGCATCTGCCTCTGCCTCCCAAGCGCTGGGATTAAAGGCATGTGCCATCACTGCCTGGCTCATTTTAGAAAAGCTTAATGAGCCATTTACGCATAGAAGAAGATATGGAGAAGAAGGACAGCCTCCACCTTTGCGTTGAGAAGAGCGATGAGGCCAACCGTCCTCATTCTGTAGTCGAGTGTAAAAGCTGGGACATGGAAGGACGCTGTATAAACAGCAGAGTATGGTAGCTGACTCCGGAACTCTGAAACTGCTGTGAATTTACAGGAGAAGGGCTGAAGTGAAGCGGGCTAGAGAGATGGCTCAGCAGTGAAGAGCACTTGCTGCCCTTGCAGAGGACCAAGCTCAGTCCCCAGCACCCACATCAGGCAGCTCCATGGGATCTGACATCCCCACGGGCCTCAGTAAGCACAGACTGATTCCAAAGAGCAACAAGCTTCAGGGGACACTGATGGCCCAGATGAGCTACCCAGGCAGAGCCAATTCAATAAGATGGACTTGTATGGAGAGGCAAAGCAAGTGACTTTAGTCCCAGGAGATCTAGACAGTTTCTTCTGGCCTCTGCGGGCACTGCAAATGCATGGCACACACTCACACATGGACATAAAGAAAAATAAATCATAAAAATAATAACAATTTACAGGACTCAAATTAGATGGGAAAGGACTAGAAACATAACCCTGGGTTTTGCTTGAGCCTAGCACGCACAAGGCCCTGGCCAAGTTCAACTGGGATTTTTTTTCAGACAGGGAAAGTGAGGCATCCAACCTGACCAGCATGGACAAAGTCATCCCAGGACCATGCCGAACCAGTAAGACATGCTTGCTGTAATCATAGGCTACCTTTGGGGACTAGCAACAAGGGTACAGAATAAACTCAGCACACTCACTGGGGGAAGTGGGGGACATATCCAGCAGAGAAGGTACCCCAGAAAAGGTAAAAACCAAGTCCCAGGTCACCAGAGCAAAGAGAAGAGAGAACTGCAGAAGATGTGTGGCTAATTTGAATGGGGGTGGAACAAAGGACAGAGGAGAGCTGAGTATCTGTGGTGTTTCCAAAGGGGTACCTTCCAGAGAGTACCACCAGCGACCCCGGCTCAGAAGAGGAAGAGCATCAGTGCAGGGAGGGTGGGGGGACTGGACGGGGCCGTGGAGAGGGGACACAGCTCAGTATTAACATACTAACACGTTGAACTTCACCCTCACGGGAAACCCAAGTGCAGTGGTCTAAAGTCCTCCGCAACACCAGCTCAGAAACTCAACAGCAGAGCCTGGCCGAGTCTAGATCTGCCAGTCTTCAACACGTCAGTGAGAGCTGAAGCCAAGAGTTCAGGATTCTCACGTGACAACAACGAAGGTGATGTGACCACAGAAAACAGAACTTAGAAGACACCAGGCACTGTCGCTCATAGAGCTCCCCAAGAAGCCGATGAGGGAGGTGTTACTGCTCCCTCCACTCAGGGATAGGCAATTATGCAAATTTTACAGTTTAAAAAAAATACAAAATAAAAAGACAGTAGGGCTGGCATTCGAACCCAGGAAGCATGGTAGGAGTTCATGTTTGCAAACACAATGTCTTCCTGTTTGTCTCATTAAAATGCCAGCTGTCAGTGCAGGCTGGGACTCTACCAGCGAGCCTGCAAACTCCCCAGATGTCCACTGGCGAAAGCCCGAGACACAGGCGACAATGAGGCAAGGAGAAATTTGGTAGCAAAAGGCTGGGCACTTAAAGCAGAACCCAGAAGTCCCGAAGGTCACAGAAGGAGCCACCACAGCACGCCGGGACTAAGGAGAAAGCTCAGGGCCCTTTAAGGCGAAGCAGATTTGAGGCTGAGGCCTCTGTCCTGAATCTCACACCAGCATGTTGCCCAGAGAAGATGGACTCCCAGGGAGAATGAGAGCCCTGAACCTCTTATGAAACATCTTAAGTTTCTCCTACCGCCCCGGGGGTGGGAGAAGCAGTGAGCTATTAAAGAAAGAAACGCCAACAAGGTTCCCCGAGGACGTGGTTACCCAGAGGAGCTACTGCACCCGCAGGAAAGCTGTCTACGTGGAGAGGAAAGGTGAAAGACAGCTGGCTCGCCAAGGCTGAAGGCGCCTGCCTGTCTGGGTTGTCTACACTGACACCCTTAAGGCTGACTCTACTGGGAAAAATCAAAGTGTAGCCTTGGATAGTTCAAGTGAGACCAATTCTCCAAACCAATCACACAGACTACTCCCTACAAACAAACAAAAGAAACTAAAAAGCTACAAACTCCATGCCCCTTCCAATTCCCTTCTTAAGATGATAAAACAGCCTTTGTGGCTCACAACTGTGGCTCCCTCAGGAGGCTGAGACAGGCTGGTCATGGTCTCAAAGAACTTAGAAAAAACTGAAGACGACGCCATACGCGCACTATAGGGCTCTGGAGGATGCTACTGGAGGGACCCGTAACTTGACAAGCCCTGGAAATGGAATTTGTCTTTGGAGCCCAGTTAAATCAGACACGTGTAATATTCCTTCTCCACAGTTTAGTCCTCCAACGCTCCTAGTTTTCCTCCATCAGGCGAACCTTAGCCTGGTTGTCTTTTAAATCTCCTGTGATTATGAGACCGACCTCGGCCCCAATCATAGGCCTGCAGCCGGCCCATGCATGAACTGTACATCTCGTGGCCCTCGTTAAATCCTGCTGAAGGGGGAACTTCTTAGTACTGTTGGACAGACGCTTCAGATGCTTCAATCTACACGACTCCGACAGAGCCCTAAAAGGGAGAAACGTCACCACTGACGCTTTAGAGATAAGGAGCCTAAAGCACGGACACACGATCCATGAACAGAAAACTAGGGGGCTGCCAAGAGGGCTCAACAGGTCAAGGGGTTTGCAGCCAAACCTGAATTTGAAATCCAGAGGCTTACATGGTAGAAGGAGAAACCCAAACTCCCACAGGCATGCTGTGGAGTGTGCACGCACAAGGCCTCCAGTGTGTACTGATTTATGCTTTGGACGCTGGCTGACTCAGGGACTGGATTCCCCCAGCAAAACCCTTCATCCTTACCTCCCTCAACCTTGTCTCCAGCTCCAGCAGCCGATTCTTGTCACTGTGGTCTTGGTGGCTGATTTTCTCCAGCTGCTCTTCCAACTTTCGGTTCTGGGCCTCCAGTTTCCCGGCCTGTGTCTCCAGGTAAAATTTCTGCTGCCTGAGTTCTGAAATCATCTCTTCCTGGGCCTTCCTGGTGGGGGGGAGGGTAAACCAAACAGACTCATCAGAGGCAAGCATGTCTCCCTGGTACAGCAGGCAGAAATGGGGTGAGAAGGTACATCTTCAGTGAGTAGTCAACAGTGCTCTGAGTTCCTTGTCAACAGGATTACGGATGTTCAAGCAACAGATGCTAACATTACAATCCTTTGGTAGACCTTTTTGTTTGTTTCTTTTAGAGCCTGTATAGAGTAGAGAGAGGCCTCCTTCAAGTAGAGGGAGAGTTCACAATGCACGCTCTATAAAAGATGCTGCAATCGAGAAAAGACAACTTTGCTCCTTCTAGAACTCTGTGGTGCTTCCTCACCTTCCTGCCAATTGTGACAAGTATCAAATCCGAGAACCCAAGACTAGAGAGTGGGGGGCCCAACTGGTTCATAGTAAGATGAAAGTGTTTCCAAGGTCTCTGAAGGGATGTGCCGAGGGAAGACATTCCTCAGGACTGTAAATTCAGGCAAGGAGGCCGTGATCTGAGCATTTATAAACTTGGCTGGCCCTGGCTGACCCCCGAGGCACAACTCCCTATAGCAGGATGCATGGCTGAACTGGATGCACACAAAGTCACCTCCTGCTGATTAACAGCAGCCCAGGATGGGAACAGAGACAGCAGCTTTCCAGAAACAAACTCTAGCCAGCTTCCTCAGGCACAGGAAATGCTCTGTGGTCTGTAGGAATCTGAGGTACCTGAGAATACGTGACGTGTACCTTGGTGGTGATGCACACCATTAATCCCAGCACTCGGGAGGCAGAGGCAGGCAGATCTCTGTGAGTTCAAGGCCAGCCTAGTCTACAGAGTGAGTTTTAGAACAGCCAGGGCCACACAGAGAAACCCTGTCTCAAAAAACCAAAAGAATGCCTGACTCGAAAGAGAGGCTGCACAGGGGTGAGGCCATTCAAAGGAGAGCAAAACTACACAAGTGTGCACAGCACGGCTCAGCCGATGCACACACTTGACTTAGCCTGTGACGGTTTCCATCAGACAAAAGAACAGACTTTCTGTTCTGGAGCTGAGGCGAGCGTAGTAAACTGCTTACATGTTCCTCTGGGTGAAGAGACTGCTGTTTGCCGCCAACTTGTTGGCCTCGGACAGTTCCACAATCCTCTGCTCCAGGGATCTGATCTTGGAATCCATAGCGTTGATCATCTGAAACACAGGTGACCCCTGACACCTCACACACGGACAGTCTAGTCAGAAAGGGGTGAGGGTGGGCCCTTACAAATGTCCACAGGTGGGTTGGCCAGAGGTAGTGAGAGACCGCACAAGGCTGTACCCTGAAGGTCACAGGTGTCATTGCTCAGTGGATGGTATTCATCAATGAATAAATCGATGAATATGAAAGATATTTCAGTTGTTTTTCCAACTGAAACCACTGTCTCCACACTAAGTGGCCTGTATCAAAATCAGCTAGTAGGAGCTCTCAGGGAAGCAGCCATCCTGCACAGAAGCAGGCCTCTGACATCTCAGTGCCATTTGTACTCAACCCAGGCCTTTAGGAGCACGAACATACAACTACGTAAACATTATAACACATTTCTCTACGTTAGCGGTTTCTCAGTTTAGCTAAGGGTGGGGTCAGATAAAAATAAAACTAGGGGCTGCGGAGGTATCACAGCCTTTAATGTTCAAGGTCAGCCTGGTCTACAAGAGCTAGTTCCAGGACAGGCTCCAAGGCTACAGAGAAACCATCTCAAAAAACAAGTGTATACCTTGGACAGGCCCCTCCTTTAGAGAGACAGGGGAGGAGGCAGAAACCCAGCGTCCTCATGTATGAAAGCACTTGAACTGTGCTATGCTGCAGTCCCAGTCCCTTCCCTTGGGGATTCTGGGGTAGGAAACCCCCATGAGCATCTGGGATAATATGGATGGATTTACATGTATCCCAGGCCAGTCCCATGCCCAGCAAGTTTGAAGGGAGAGAAATCAGTAAATTTTAAAAGAAAGAGTGACGTGGGAGCCTGAGGGCCACTGGGTGCTGTCCAGAGGCACTTTGAAGGGACCCTGTGGTGTCAGTCACTAGAGAACACAAATCCAGCCACTGTTCTTTGGGGAACGAAGCTTCCTAGTACCCACAGACCCTGTATGATGTCACGGAGAGAACACATTACCAGATGAAATGGAGGGACTCTCGGCCTCACTCGAAACCCTTCTCGGGAAGGTGGCCTGGAGTCTTGCTACCTACCGCCTTCTGCTCGCTGAGGATTTTGCCCTTCTCGTGGGCCTCCTCTTCATGTCTCTGCATCATGTTCTCCAGGCTCTCCTTGTCGGCTAGGTCTTTCTTTATCTGATTGTCCAATACCTACGGAGACACAAGATGTGAATATCCCAGGAAGCTAAACTGGGGTAAGAGGGGAAGAGAGGCAGCAGAGGCCCAGGCCTCCAGACTCCAGGGCAAAAAAAAAAAGGTGAAACCCGAGCAGAGTCAATTCATTCACCAAGACGACCAAATGCCCAAAACCAGGTGGACATGAATGAGAAGTCTGCTGGGAAGTCGGGCAGCTCCAAAGACCGGAGAGCTGTGCCCAAACCAAGAAGGCTGATTCCAGCATGTGGGGAGAGGGAGCGCTCAGTGCCTAGCCCTAGACAGGGAAGCGCCTAGCATTTGAGAGCATTACCTTGGGGGGGGGGGGTGTCTCTTAGCAGTGGTTTTCAAAAAAGTGCCTTGCTCCTAATTTGTACAAAATGAATTCTGAATACTCCCAAGCCATGCATCTCAGAAGGAAAGGAGATGAAGGGCCACAGAGTCTGGGCGACTGGGGCTGATGTTCTGATACAACCAGCGACAAGATGATGTTGCCCACCAGTGTGTGGGTGGGACAGATAATATAAAAGACAGGGGGAAAGATCCTTTTTTCCTCTGATATAACAAGGATTAAAAGTCCCTGGAAAAAGGCACTGTGCTCAGGAAGAGAGAAATGCTGTGTTCTCAGGGCTCAGGCTGTTCCTGTGAGCACCTGGTCCCAAAGAGGAAAAATAGAACAGCAACGGTGTCACCAACCACCAGTTTGATCCAGTGTTCTGCAAGGCACTTGACCCTCCGAATCACCAAAACCCCGGGGACAGAGAGGAAAGATACTGAACTCCCCGAGCCTTTGACCAAGCAAGAACCTATGCTCCTCACCACAAAGAGTTCGCTTTGCTTTTGTGAACAACAACACTGCCATCCAACATCCGCCAGAAGACTGGAAATAAAGCTGTTAGAATTGGGGTCACAGATGGGACCTGAAATACGCCTTTCCCACAATGTCTATTGTGAGGGGCCCTCCATGGCTCCTGAGGACATTGTCCCTAAAAGAGAACTAGTCAGCGGGGAAGGGGTCCACAAGATAAAGGAAAGAACAAATATCAAAGAGGGCTTTCAACTAGAATTCAATGAGGAAGGAAAAAAAAAAAAAGAAAGTTAGTGGAGAAGCCTGGAAGTTGGCAAGCAGGGTCATGAGGGTTCAGAGCACTCAGTGGGGTAATAAAGTGACCGTTCTGTTGGATGTCTGAGTGTGGTTCTAAAATTATGAGCAAGAACACAGTGGATCCGGGGTATGATCAGAGCTATGACCAAAATGGCCTTACAGAAGCTGGAACCAACAATACAATACAGAAGAGATCAGAGGGAACAGCTTGTTTGGATCCCAGGAGAGAAGGCAGAAGAAAACAGCTTTTCTGGAACATTCCCTGGGGTCTATAAGATAGAGTTCTGTCCAGCTAGAAGGGACCAGAGATTGCACAACACCTAGGATGCCCAGGCTAAGGAAGCCCCCTTCTCCAGGGTGCTAAGGCAAAGGAAGATGGCTACTCAGAATGACTGTTCTAAATCAGATCTCCACCTTGGCAGCAATGGGTCCTGATACAACCTGCACGTTGATCAAAAGGGACATGCCGTCACCCAGAATGAAAGCATCTTGGCTTTGACAGGGTTTGACTGGCAGGGAACAGAGATGTAAGACAGACGTGGCTTTTGATGGGCCTTCAGTTTCATCATTCAAATCACACAGCGGATTCCACAAGGGGGTTACTGTCGTTACGCAGGCATTCTGAACACTAAAGTCTGGAAACCACTATAAATTCTAAACTAAAAGGTGAGCTCGATAAATTTAAGAGGCCACATCTGGACATTTTCCTACAGTCATTTAATAAAAAGTAACTGAAAATTGCCACAGCTAAGAGAGAGTGGCAGGCGGTGATGGCAGTGTGTCTGGGTGAGGACGGACATGCTGGACTCGCCAAGAGAGGACCTCTTAATGCTAAGGATGCAAGCAAACCCAGAACAGGGTCACCACAGACACCAACAGCCTCTTTCAATGACTGGGCAAAGAAACGATCACATATGATAGAATGACCAAAGTCATGTGACCGGGGCTCAGTTCTCAGGAGTGGGGGTAGGGTTGCTGACAAGAGAAAGTATTTCAGACCAAAAGCCAAGCAACAGCAGACAAAGAAAGAACGACTAAAACAAAGTTGTTTCTATCTGAAGGCATTTGCTGACCCAAGTGAACTGGAGCTCCTGTCTCATAGCCTCAGGTATGAGAGAAGACTGAAGTCAAAGTTTCCTGTAATGATGCACCAGAGAAAACGGGCAAAAGGGAACAGCCATCATCGGGAGGGAGAAAAAGAGAGGGGTGCAAAGCCAATCTTCAACACACCAGTCATCAGATACAAATGCTCAAAAAATGACAGACCTGAAAACGAATACATAGGATCAAAAATTATCTTTCATAATCTAGCAAACTTGGGAATAAAACAAATAGCATATCTGCCTAGAAATAAAACATATTCCTGAAATTAAAACCTCAATAGACAGGTTTGTCAGCAGTTTAGACACAGTTAAGAGAGGCTTAGCAAAGTGGAAAGCAAGGCAGTAGAACTCACCTAGGATACAGCACAGAGGGACAAAGAAACGGAAACATGGAAAAGAGTGGATTCCAGGAGATCTAGCCCATGTCTACTTAAGTTCTCAAGATGGCAGCAAAGACAAAAGAGAGCAAAAATAATACTTGAAATATATTAAACACTGATTTTCTTGGTATTGAGTAAAAATGTATCAATCTACTCAAAATTTCCAGCAGGATAAATAAAAGAAATCAACGTCCCAACAACTCACAGCAAGACTACAGAATTAAAGACAGAAGGAGACACACACACACACAGAGACACATACACACAAGCTTAGCTTCATTTTCAGGAAGGTAACAGTAAGAGTGGGGTTGAGCAGCTAAAGAGCACTGTCGCAGCTACAGAGAACACGGCACCTAAGAACAAGGCTGACGTGTACATCGGCAGCACAAACTGAACTTGGAAGTGGTTGGGGGCAGTACAGTGGAGCTGGGGAAAGTATGAGTGAAAATGAGCAAAATGCATGCATGACTATATGTAAATATCAAATTATAAATAATATTATCAAATATCAAATAATAAAAAGCATTTAAAAAAAAGAATGGGGATGGGCACTGTTACATCCAACAAATACACCAACTTAAAATGCACATTCGAGAAAATAAACAACACAAAAGTGAAGGTGAGGGGGCGGGGACACAAGAGAGGGTAACTGAAGAGATGTGAAAAAAGCAGCTGATTAGACATGTAAAAAATGTCATAATGAATTAAATGGATGATTTTGTACTATAATATATGCCATTTCTAAAAAATGAAACTAAGGAGCTGGAAAGTGGTTAAGAGTGCTGGCTGCTTTTGTAGAGGACCTGAGTTCAATTCCCAACACCCACGTCAGGTGACTCAAAACCATCTGTAACTCCCAGCTCAAGAAAAAAAACAATACAAAACAAAAAACCAAATCCATTGCCCTCTTCTGGCCTCCTCAGGTACTACACTCACATGCATATACCCCACCCCCACCACACACCTAAAATTAAAAACTAAATCAAAATTTAAAAATAAAAAAATTTAAAATGAGGATTATACAAGCACATTTTCAGAACAACAGTAGCTCTTTACAAAATTAAGTTCTCAAGGATGTACTTTAAATGAAAGGAAAAGGTACTGAATGAAGTCAGAAATGCAGAGAGAAAGTCAAAAGCAAAGAATATCATGACTACGTGGGCAAATCTACATAAATCACGCCCCAAAACCACCGTGGGTTAAAAACGAATAAATAAAGATGGAACCACAATATGGAATGAAGAATATATTAAGCTCCAGACTTGAAAATCTCCCATCATGCAGTAAGGACAGGGTTTAGCCGCGGATGCAGGGAAGCCACCCGTGTGCTCGGGAAGGTTTAGACAGGACTGGCAGGGTGGCTTTACTTTAATCTTTTCCTCGTAGTGCTGTTCTTTCTGTTTCAAGTGTACTTCTAGGTGTTGTGCCGAGACCTGAGCCTCCCGGTGTTTCTCCTCCAGCTCCTGGACACAAAAGAATAGTCAGTCAGGCGTGCTCAGGGAAGGGAGCCAATGCACACGAGACAATCACAGGAAACACGACTGTCACAGGCACTGCAGGTCACTGCAGCCACTGCTCCCTCCAACACTAGACGGAGGCTCTTGGGAAGAAAACTGCCAGTGTGTGGCCTTGGTTCTCCCAAGTCCAAGCAGACACACACACACACACATACACACACACACACACACACACACACAACAGCTGGTGGGCTGTGAGGCCAGATCAGTTGGTGTGACAGATCAGACAGGGGCAGCGGCTCCACTTTACACAGAGAAATAAAGGCAACAAGGCAACAGTCAAGAGTTCAGCATGGCACAGAGACCCTGTGTTGAGCCTTGGGCTATTTTCATTGTTAATGTTCATCAGCCTTAAATAAGAAAAGGGATTTTAATTTATTATGAAGATAAACAATACTTTGGGTCTTCCTCATTCATAAAAGCATTGCTCAAGAACCCGCGCTAACGTCACAATCAGCGTAAGTATAAAAATAACCGTGGCGTTTGGAGTGACCACTGTAAATGACTGGCATGGGAGAGCGTGGACACTGGAGACGCACGCGTGAGACTATGTTTACATGAAGCAGCGCTAATGGGAATGGCGATGAGAATGAAGACGCATGCGTACACAACACACGAGAGAGAAGAGAAGCTGGAGCCAGCAAACAGACTAGTTGAAGGTTCTCTTGCTTCTTTCATTGCTTTTTCTGTCTTTAAACAAAATTGTGATTCATTTGAAAATTACACCAACTTATTTGCCTGTGTATTTTAAACCGACCTCTTAGGAAACACAGCATCCCGTTCACTCGCTAAAAGACACGCTAAACACAGGCGCCGTTGCATCAGAACCAGGAGTCTGAACCCTTAGTTAACTACTGACATCAGAAGTCATTACTCCCAAGTTCTCTTCTCTTCATACTCCTGTGAAATCCTCTATGAAGTCAAAGCAATGATAAAGAATTTCGAAGAATGAGGAAATTATATGGGATATGCCCAGAAAACCGAAGGTGGGGGGTACTTTTGGGAGTCACAGGCACACAATGGCTCGCAAGTCTGCAGCTACAGGCTTTGCTTTGAGGCGCCGCTGAAATGCTCGGGCTCCAGACCAGGCGCACAAAACCCACTGCAACGTGCCAGATGCACCCCTGGGGAGCTGAGTGTAAACAGGGGTCCAATTAATAAAAACATTTCGCGGGCTTTGCGCATGTTCACGACAGGACTGCAGAAGCAGAGATGGTGCTGTAAGGAGGCCCTGATCACCCCCTTGGAAACTTCTCCTCACAATGGCAAGCATTTTAAAGCAAGGACATTTTGGGACCTGCTTGCCAGCATCATCTCGATATGACAGCTTGATGGGTCGTTCTTGGCCCATGTCCCATATACCCTGCAGCCTGAGCACAGGGTTCTTGAGCAAGAGGCACGTTCGGCTAAAATGAAGGCACAGACGGTCACTCACAAAGGCACTTGGGCAGGTGACAAGATACATTCAGATCAAGAAACTTTACTCTTTGGTTACAAGGCACTTGACAGTCATCTTTCCTCGGGTTCAGTCCTCATAAGATGGCACAGAAATGGGAACAGAAATCTAAAAATCGGTTAAAAGAAAACCCAGCACTCAGACAGCTGAGCCTGCTGGCTACGTAAATAGTAATTTACAGTCCAGAGTCCGACTAACACCTCGCTGCTTGGGCGTTTTGCATTTTTTGTTGTTGTTGTCATTTTTTAAAGCGTGTCTTTTACTACACACATCAGAGCAACTCTTCCTTATGTCACGCGGCTACGGTGGTTCGCTGCCGTATTCCAGCCCCCGGAACAGTGCCTGGCACATAGTAGAAGCTCATTAAATATTTGTTGAATGAATGAATGAACACGTCCCCATTAAAGAGAGAAACACTTCGGAACCACAAGAGCTTAGCCCTTCATTAACTGTTTGTTAACCAGGGAAGGGGTAACAGTGGCAGGACCTACCCTTACTCACAGTAAAACTCACATGCTTGACAAGAGTTGAGAGAGATTCTGATGACAGAACAGGAGATCGAGAGGGAGTAGACAACCACATCTGTCTTGTGTGCAGACACACACACATACACACATAAATAGAAAGACTGGGAGGCAAAGCCAAACAATTTAACCGATCCCTCTTTCATCCTTTTGTTCAAGAACATCCCTACATTGCAGCTATACCCAGAGAAATCTTTCGGGTGTTGAAGAGTTTGTATCAAGTGCTACACAAGCCTGTAAGCCAGCCAGCCTTGAGTTCATATAGCTGCGGGCACCTCGGCTCCCACGAGTGAGGAAGAGAGAGATGAAGTGGCCCATTTACACCCCCACCTCCTTTTAGGGGACAAAAGGGGATTGTGCATGAACCCCAAGTCATCCCTAAGCCTCTTAAATATTGACATCCAACTTCTGCCCTTGGGAGCGAGACTTGAAGGTGCTGCCTCCCCCACTGCCACGGCCTGGCCTGGGAGGCGCATCATCATATCCACAGTCTCAGCCGCCCAAGCGCACATTCCCTGATTAAGTTAATTTGGTCATCAGCGCTGAAGACAGACTCCGAATGATGACACACCTAAAAAAGGATGCTCCAGCGGAGGCCATGGGGTAAAGTACGTGTAAGCGCCAACCCGGCAGAGCCAGTGCGTGGGTGAACAGCGATCTGTGGCAGCTACTACTCCGAGAAAACAGTCCCTGTGACTCACTTCTTTCGCTTCTAAAAACAAGAATTGGGGCTTTGGTCTTAGAAGTCGAAAACCCAGTAGATTTTTGCACTGGTTTTGCCACATTAATGGCCAAACAAAACTCTGCTAAAGAGGAGAACAGCGGGCGGGGGAGGCGGGGAGATAAATGCATGATATCATTCTGTAAAACGCCAGGTGAGAGCACACAGAAAAATGACGGCAACGGCAAGAACAGGTCTGTCACCGTGCCGAAATGTCCCGTGCTGGCTTGTCCGGGCTCCTCTCCGGTCACCTACTCGGGGACACCTCCCATGGGATGGCATTGGAGCCTTCTTGCCCCCTTCCCTTTGAGACCTCTAGCCTCTTATCTTTGAACTTTGACTTCCACTCCTGCTCACCAGAATTTTATCAGCCATCTGCTGGATCTGTTGGGACTTTGTCTGGATGTCGTCCTTCAGTCTGTTCTCTCTACGCTCCATGGTCTCTAGTCTCTTTACCTTGTTCTCCAGAGAGTGCCGGCGTTCCTGTAGGTCATGAATCAATCAGAGAGTTTTAATGGAGCAACAACTGTGGGCATACCACCTGCACCGAGGGAAAGAGCCCTCGAGAGGCAGACACGCAAGTCGGGAAGAAAAAAATCTTGGGCACCCGAAGCAACGGCGAAGACGACAACTCTAGAATCCGGGTACTCAGCAGTGTGGATTATAAGAGTGCATTCATTCATTCAAATATTTACCAAGCACCTACTATCTGCAAAGTACCACACTAAGCATCATGTGAAATACAGAGAGGAAGGCGATGTCACTCTGCCCTTGGAAAACAAAGGACAAACAACAAACAAATACGACGTGGGTTAAGAGGGGGAGAACCACAGAGCAGACACAAAGGCAGGAAGGGGCCATCTGAATGCACAGTTGAGGTATGGGATAAAGAGGCATGAGCTCTGGAGACACTGCAGGGCAGGAGAAGACGGGGCGGGGGAGCAGGCCACTGACACACAACAATATTATGAAAGAGAAAGCTTGGGGGAAACACAGAGGTAGTCAAAAGGCAATGGGAGTTCCAAGGCAAGCCCAGACTGACCACCACTGCAAAAGGCTGGGGAAGCGCAAATGAAAAGGAGCCAGCATTTGTGGGTCACATGGCTATTTCATAGGTCTCAGGTGCACCCAGCCTCAAGGGGTACACCTAAGATATATAGAGACCCTAAGTCGGGTAGTGATGACACTCGGGAGGCAGAGTCAGGCGGATCTCTGTGAGTTCGAGGCCAGCCTGGTCTACAAGAGCTAGTTCCAGGACAGGCTCCAAAGTTACAAAGAAACCCTGTCTTAAACCGCCTCCCCACAAAAAACAAAACAAAACAAAAAAAGTACACAGAGACCCTCAAACACTGGGGATGGGGCAGGAGTACTTGGGGGTCCACGAATATTATCTTGTGTGAGTTAGGAGGGGAGAAGGAAAGACCTGAAGCTGGAGATCCGGAAACCGTTCCATCTGCTTAACTAGCTCTGGACCATGAGGAAGGCTACAGGGAGGGCAAAGAGGAGAGGAAGTCAGGGACTCGCTGCAGCACTGGGGTCACTCTGGACTTGAGGCACTGTTCACACACACGCTTGGGTTTCAGGACAACAGTGGGAGGCAGCAAGGAATGCAGGTGAGGACAGACCCCAGACAGCCGGGTCACCATGTACAGGCAGAGTCACATGAAGATTGTGGTGGGGAAGAGGAAAGGCCAGGGGACAGACAGGACAGAGACACTGATTGTGTTCCAATCAACGCTGAGACAAACAATGAGGGAGGGCGGCAGAGAGGCAGAGACGGGCAAAGGGGCCTCACTTTGTACTCTCGATTTGTCTGCACTGTTTAAGTTTTGACAGTGAAAAGCCACTCGGATTTTCAGTATAATTATATAAATGATTTCAACAACAACAACAACAACAAAGAATCTGATGGGGAAAGGGCCCAAAACACAGGCCTGGAGTCGCCGACGAGGGTAACCAAAACACAGGCTCAGAGTCGCTGACAAGGGTAACTGGTGAAGCCGTGGAGAACAGTCTGTTAGATCTGCATTGTGTTAGAAACAGCAAAACACGGGAAAGAAAAAGAAAACCACAGAGCAGCAGCCAATGAGCCTAGAGAAAAGAGAACCCAGAGCAGTCGAGAGGCCAGGGCGGAGCAGCAGGACCCCCTGTCCAGGCATCGCCACCTCAGAGCTGCTGAGGTAGGCGTGGAAGGGTTCTTCAGAGAGGAAGAAGTTTGGTCAAACAGGAACAGTGATGTTTCAGTTTTTTTGCCTCAGCACAACCAGGATCAAAGGCAAGGTCAGCTGGGGACAAATAGCTCGGGCTGAGGAAAGGGCCCCGCTCACCTCGGCTTCAACCAGCTTCTTTTTGATGCCTTCGGAAGAATCTTCTCGGTTGTGCAGCTTCTCCAGCTCCCTCTCGGCTCGCTCCTTGGCCTGGCGGATATTCTGCAGGAGCTCAGTGGCCTCTGTGCTCGCTTTTACAGCCTGGCAGGAGAAAGGGGGACAGGGCACTGATGTCTACATGGACTCGTATGGGGGCAAAAAAAACGAAAACAGAAAAAGCAGGAGATACTGAGCACATCAGGGCCAGTCTTCAAAGCAGGAGCATTCACTTACTGCAGATCTTGTGTATATTAGGTATATTCTTTTTTAATATCGCTGAGTTTGTAACAAGTCTCATAGTTAAAATTGATGTACTTCTCTTTCTTGGGATGACTGACAATCTTTTGTTTCTCCAATTCAATGCAATACAAAGAACCAAACAAAGAGGTACCTAGCATTAATCTGGTTCCTTCTGACTACTCTGCCTGTGTGGAGCGTGGAAACGAATTCAACAGGAAAACAAGGTCAACGCTAGCCGAGTTATGACCTTTCAAGGACTGATAATAGTCTTGGGTCTGTGATAATCGACAAGGTAAAAAGAAAGAAGGCTGAGCCTCTTAATTTTGTCATTTATTAACTTTGATTTGGGTCTAACCTGCACTACAGCTTTTACAGTATTGTGGATGACATCTGAATTTAGGAGACAAATTAAAATGTAAATGTATATATAATATTTACACATACATAGGATGCATGTGCATGTGTGTGTGTGCGTGCGTGTGTGTGTGCGTGCGTGTAAAGCATCCTCATATATATCACTTCAACTGTAATTTTAACAAGTGCAGCTAGTCAGCTGGTACGGGCCTGTGATCCCAACACCTGGAAGGAGGATAAATGAGTTCAGTGCCAGCCTGTACTGCATAGCAAAGCTCTGGTAAAAATTTTAAAAGTGGAAACTATAAGAAAACACCAATTCTAAGACCTGTAATATGCCAAATGGGAGCCAGTGGCCACAAGGGCTGCTGAACCCTGAAATGCATGAGAACATTCTTTTTATTTTTAAAAGCTAATTTTAATTATTTCAGTCAAATAACAAGAGACTCATTGGACAGAACAGCTCGAAGACAGAGATGTGTCGTCCGGCCACATCGAAGTGCTTAGTGACCTGGAAAAGGCTAAAACGGAAATGCGATGCTATCGCTGTGGTTTGCACAGTACGTTTTTTAAAGAAGGAGGAACTGTCCTTATTAAACCAACCACCAAGCATGTGCATAGACAATCTGATGCAGAAACCATGTCCCAAACCACAGTCCCTCTGTCCGTCTGCTGGGCACTTCTGCGTTCAGCTAGAGAGGCTTTGAAAAGTGGAGAGCAGACCTTCCTTCCCTGTCCCCATCCCGGAAAAGGGAGAGCCGTAATGAAGATGCTAATCACGCCGTCACATCACAAGTGGACACAGCATCAGAGCACCATTGTGTGCACTTCCGCATTTGTCAATCATTTCTTAACAAGCCAAAGCACAACTGAAGCAGCGCAAACTGTGCCAACATCTCCCCACACCCAACACACACAACCACACCACGACACCAGGGAGCCATCACAGTCCCCAGAGAGCGGATCTGCCACAGTCCTGGTGGAGGAGGAGCCAGGCTGCCCCTGCAAACATGCAAAACGAGAAACCTCCCCTCCCAAGGCACTAAAAGCCACTTTTGGGTTTCTGTTCCCAGAGTCTCACACAAGTTTGGTTTTTAACATCCCAAAAGGAAAACTGAAATCCAGAAGCCTGATATCTGGGTAACAGTACACATGCCCTTCATCATCTTTAGTGCTGGTGACTGACAGCTTCTCTCTTCCTTACTGCTCTGGGGTGAGGCGGACAGGGACTCAGGAATAGGGGAGCCCCCTCACGGCCCCTCAGTGGAACTTACCTTTTCCAGCTTCTCCTGGAGCTCCTGGATTTTGAGCTGCTGCTCAGCATTGATCTACAATTAAAGCCGGGGAGAGAACAGAGCGATCAGAGCCTGCTCTTGCTACCTGCAGCGTGGTCCTATTTCCTCCAGGGTTCTGTGGAGCCTCTGGGGTTTGTTTTCTAGAACTTACTAGCATAGAACACTGGCCTGTCAGAGAAGCGTGGGTGTGTCCCAACATGAACTGCGGGGTGGACTATTGATTTCTGTAGGACTAGCAACATATATGAAGACAACGTGGCCCAGTGCCTTAACACAAAAAAATTTACCAAGTACCTGGGTAGATGATAACCCCCCACCCCCCCAAAAAAAAGAAGGAGAGAGAGAGAGAAAGAGAGAGAAGAAGGGGAGGATGTTTTAGCCAGGGATGGTGGCATGTGCCTGAAACCCCAGAACTTAAGAGAGGGAGTCAGGAAGGCCAGGAATTTAGGGCATCCTCAGCTACACAGTGGGCGTGGGACTAGCCATGACTGCATAAAACTCTCTTTAAAAGGGGGGGGGGGCTAGAGAGATGGCTCAGTGGTTAAGAGCACTGACTGCTCTTCCAGAGGACCTGGGTTCAAGTCCTAGCACCCACATGCCAGCTCACAACTGTCTGTAACTCCAAGATCTGACATCCTCACACAGGCATACATGTAGCAAAACACAAATGCAAATAAAAGAAAAAGAAAAAAAGAAAATCCCAATGACTTTATAAAAGAAAAAAAACAAAAAACCATTAAAACCTAGGGGCACGAAGCATAGTGTAGTGTATCAGTAACGGTACATGCCTGCATTCAATCCCTCTCACCAAAAAAATAAATAAACAAATAAAATATGATAGATTCATCAAGTATTTACAAAAGTATTCTTATGTGGTAAGCAGTCACTGGTAATATTACAAAACCATTTGCCCCAAATAGTAAACCCAATCCCAGAAGACACACCTTCTCAAGTTTGGAGTACTCTCCCACTTCAGGCTTCCCTTGGTCCTTAGCCTGTAAGTAAAAAGATACAACATATTGGGAATCTCAACAACCCACGCACATCACCTGTTGTACTTCCTAGGTCTCTGTGATAACATTACAACAAACAATAATAATGTTATCTACAAATAAAGGGGAGTTTTCTAAAAAAAAAAAATAAAAACTCATTGTGTCTCCAACCTACACTCATTAAGTCAGCGTGGCCTTGCATCTTGTGAAGATCATCCAGGGCCGTGCCCCCAAAGTCCCCTCTTGGAGGGTGGCTGACTACCTTCATCAATTTGTGCTGACATTCAGTGGCCTTCCGCTTGAATTCCTCAGCGGCAAGCCGAGACTCTCTCAGCTCGGATTCGTAGAGATCGCTGCGTCTCCGGGCGGACACGAGGTCCTCTTCCAATTGGCTCATCATCAACCTCATCTCTTCCACCTGAGCCTGGTACTCCTAAAGAGCGGGCAGAGGACGGAAGGTGAAGCCTGGAGCTCCACAGCAGAGGGTGGGCAGTGAGACGGATGTAGATCAACCACAGGGGAAGGTGTACGTTGGAAGAAAAGTGTCAAAGGACAGATGGGCAGACAGAGAAAGACGTGAGTGGAAGGATCTAGAGACAGGAAAAACTGGGGGTGTTGGGGGGCGGGGAAGAAGGAAAGAATATTAAATTGTTTTAATGCAGGACACGTGTCTAGAGTAACCCCAGCAGGAACACACATGCGGAATCAGAGATGCTGAGCAAACAACCACACAGATTCCGAGAACCCCCAGGGATGCGCAGACACGCGGAGAGAGCTGCCCTCTGAACGAGGATGAACCGCACGTGTGCTTCTCCTCCAAGGTGCTTGTTTCTATAGATTTGTCCTTCGGACACCACGTGGTCCTAACACAATTAGATATGGTACTAGCTTTGAAATTAACCTTTCAGACAGCACCAGAGGGTAATTGGAAACCTCGGAGGAAATCATCTGGGAAGGTGAAACTCATCATTGCCAGTTTCTCACCATTAATTTTTCTGGGCTCAAAACGGAAGGTTGAGCTTAGCATTGATCCTGCAATGCAAGTCACCCTGAAATCTGAGGAGTCAAAAACACTGGACCGAGACAAAATAACTTGCAGGGGAAAAGAGATCTTTCCCCCTGCAAGAAAAATTATCTTGTTCCCTGAAGCAAAAGCCTTAAAATGATCCAAACAGTCCAATGTTTTCCAAAATGAATTTTAAAACCAAACCAGAACATTTGAATCAAGGCTTCCCACCACCTCCCCACCCACACACATTGAGATTTACCAGAAGAAACAGGCAACAGCCTTGAAAACTTAGGAGCCAAGTATAGCAAGGCTCTTCAATTACAAAACCAAGGCTAAAGTATGATGCCCTGTCTAACAGGACCAGGGATAGGAGGTGGTAGGTAAAACACGAGAACAAGAAATTAAGCCAGCACTGTGGCATTCATGAACTCCAGTGACAGCTGCGAGGTGAGGCATCAACCAGGATGCTGGCTGCTGCGCTTTAATTCAGCAGATTACAACTTAATCTTTGATGATTTTGTTTTGTTGGAGATGGGACTCTACCTTTGTATGTGCTGGGTAAGTACTCGAACACAGAACTACAGTCCCAGCCACTTCTGATCTCTCTCCTTCCCTCCGTGCGAGCATGTGTGCGTGCGTGTGTGTGTGTGTGTGTGTGTGTGTGTGTGTGTGCGCGTGCGTGCGTGTGCATGCATGCATGTGTGATGCGCGTGACTCTGGAGGTCAGAAAACAACTTTCCGTCTGTCCGTTCTCCCTCACATCACACGGGTGCTGGTTTCAAACTGAAGGCACCATACTTGAGAGGCAGCATTGTCTAACTGAGCCATCTGGCCTGGCCGAGTTTAGCCTTTGGTAACAGCAGGGTGTGAGGTGCCTGCTTGAGCTCACTGTAGCAGACATTGGGGAGGTATTGCAAACTCTGCAGAGTTCAGCTAGCAATGTTCACCTTAATGGGGGAGCGGGGGAGCATGAGCCAGAACAGGGAGCACAACCCTTCCTCTCAGCCAGCAGTGCATTGTGTCTGAAGGCCAACCTTGGGATCATGGGCACATGGGTGTGCTGTGTAAAGAGCTTCAGACATCTGACCTGGGACACAGGTCATGGGTGAAATGGCAGAGCCTTTACTCAGGTTTCCTTGAGATCCTCTTTATCTGGGGATAATTTATGACTTTCATGACTTCCATCCATCAGAAAAAAAAAGTGACACATGACACATGTCTGTAATGCCACTACTTAGGAGCTAGAGGCAGTAGAGGCAGGGGGATCAGGAGTTCAAGATCATCCTCAGATACACACCAAGTTAGACGCCAGCCTGGGCTATATGGGACCCTGCCACATAAACACCAAAAAAAAAAAAAAAGCCCAACCCAAATACCATATTTTTACATACATGTAAATACACATACATACACATAAATATACATTACACATATACACTCAAGTCATATTTTATATTACTAGTCTACATTCATATATTATTTGAATGTTAATATGATCCATAAAAGCAATACTGATAACCTAACAGCTCAGTTTTTAAAATTTCAATAAAAAAGGAGAAATTGAGCCAGGTGTGACGGCACACTGCTATAATCTGAGCACTTGGGAGACAGAGGCAGGAAGATCCTAAATTGAAGGCCAGTCTGGGCTACATATAATAGAAGATTAAAATATTTGAATATTATATGATATTTATTATTCCAAGTTATTTTCCCATGTCTGATACATCATTGTGCCACCTTAAAAGTACAGTGGTCCCCTGTCCCCAAGCATGAATGTAAATTACTGAATGTAAAAAGGAGCCTGCCAGCAGATAAAACCCTTCAAGGTGTGAAAACAGCAAAGTTCTAGAAGGTCTTTGGCATATTTTGTACTCAAACTTTTCCTTAAAAAAAAAAAGTATGATATGACATATGTGTGTGTGCGCGCGTGGGCACTATGGTGGAAGTCAGAGGAAGCATGGAGGAGATGGGTCTTTCATTCCACTGTGAGGTAGCAGGGATCAGGATCAGACCTGATCTCTGTACCAGGTCTCTGTACTCAGAGGCAAGCACCCTTATCCCCCAGGGCCATCTCGCCAGCCCTCAAACTCCCTTTTTGTTCTCAAACTTGTGAAGAAGATGTTTTTCCGTTCCCTGTCCCCACCCTGCCTCCTCCATTTCCTGCCCCTCTTTGGCCCTGAAGTCCTGGCCAGTCACCATGACATTGCAGGAGGGTGCCGAGCACAGACCATGGGGTCTGTGTGCAGGAGCAGCAGAGAAAGCCGCTGTAGCTCAGCATGGAATGACTCTCAGGCACTGAGTTGAATGGGTCAGAACAGACAAACAGAAACAACTGTCCATCTTCAGCAAGCCTTCCAGAGGGAGCCTTGGGACTGTGTAGGAAGAGGCCCGCATGGTCCCGTTCCCAAAAAGTCTGGAGGGCACAGATGACTTCTGAGAACTGTCACTGTTTGGGGGTATTGGAGTCAAAGTACGAGAGGGGCCTGCTAGGCATACTCCAGAAGAAATAACTGACTAAAAAGAGAAGGTTAAAACAAAAATGAGCAGAAACTCATCCGAAATCCATGAGAAACCAGTGTGCCAAAAACTAGTGTTTGCGTAGGCCTTAAAGGCATCCTTTGAGCCAGGAGATGGTGGCGCACGCCTTTAATCCCAGCACTTGGGAGGCAGAGGCAGGCGGATCTCTGTGAGTTCGAGACCAGCCTGGTCTACAAGAGCTAATTCCAGGACAGGCTCCAAAACCACAGAGAAACCCTGTCTCGAAAAACCAAAAAAAAAAAAAAAAAAAAAGGGCATCCTTTGTCTACAAACATCCCTTGCCTACCAAAAAAAAAAAAAAAAAAAGCCTTTTTAAACATATCATTCTTTAATGAGAAGTAAAATCAAGAACCGAAAACTTTTCTCTGCCCCCATCGGAACTTTTGCCAGTCATCTGAAACTCCACATGCATGCCGGCTGTGAAGTGAATCACAAAAGATGGCTCTGAACTCAACCAACAGCACCGAGCTTTTCAAAATGTCCTGATTAATTCTCTTTCTGTGGAACGCATGGACACCAGCTGCTCCCTCTGGTGGCCAAAGACAGCTTTCATTTCCCCAGGATGTCCCCAAAATTAATTTCCAAGCACAATGAACTGATGGGAGATAAAGAACCCTACCTCCTGCAGCCTTCAGGATGAAAAAAAGAAAACCCATGTTGATAAAGGGGTGTGAGTCACCTGTCAAAGCACAAGTCTCAGGGCATGCGTGTGGCCTTCAGAGCCTCCCAGGGGGTGACGTGCAGAGATGTTATGACCCATTTGCAAAGTTCCCAGTGCATATTCACTTATGATTTTCTTACACAGCAAGAGGGTGTCAACCTACCATTTAAGAAATATTGAAGCCAGGCGATGGTGGCGCACGCCTTTTATCCCAGCACTCAGGAGGCAGAGGCAGGCGGATCTCTGTGAGTTCGAGGACATCCTGGTCTACAGAGAGAGTTCCAGGACAGCTACACAGAGACCCTCTCAAAAACAACAACAACAAAAAAAAAACCCACAAAAAACAACAACAAAAAAACCCAACTTGAGGTGACAAGGAGAATATGAGATAATCCACTGATTTAAAGAATAGCTAACAAGTTGAGCTATCTGCAGGAATCTCTTTCGTTGGAGCCATCCAGACGGCCAAGTCCGCGCCACCCAGAGATGAGAATGCTCACTTCTATTAGTGTTCCCACTAGGTTTCCTGGAGTGAATGAGAGTTGCCTGGCAGCTGATAATTCCGCTCTCCAATTACTCATTTCCATCTCTTCATTAAAGTTTCTATTTACAGTGTCTTCAGAAGACAGAAAAAAAAAATCCAAGCTAAAAAGAAAACAATGAGGCGATACAAAAATGAGCCTCTCAAGAGAAAGCCCTGTTAGTAAGGCGGGGGGGCTGTTTAAAGGTCTCTGTTCTGTTCTCTTCTGGAAACTCGGGGGAGTGGGATTGTGTACCCAGATTTGTTATGTTGATTCTGACTGGGGTGTGTCCACGAGCGTGTGAATGTGTAACTGAATGTTCATGGTCTCTTGACAATGGAAAGTACATCTGAAAAGCTAGAAAAATACCAAATTCTTTTGGGACCATCCAAAGAAGAGGTTGGTAAACTTTTGGTAAAAAGTCAGAGTAAGAAGTTTTGGCTTTATAGAAACACACTCTGAAAACACCCTCGCTTTTGCCTCTGTGGTATCAAAGTCACGATAAATAAAATGAGCATGGTTGTGTCCCAGTAAATCTTTAGGCAAACTGAAATTTGATGAATTTTTCAAAATTACAAGCCACAAAATATTCTTTTTCTCTTTTGCCTGATCATTTAAGGACACAAAAGTCACTTTTGTTCTGAGAGCCACAGAAAGTATGTAGGAGGCCAGACCTGTCTGCTCAGTGTATTCTTTATTAGAAGTGGTAGCTTTTATGGGTTGAGGCCTTCAAAAAGGGCAGAACCAACAAGCTGGTGTGATCTATACGATCACGGAGAAGCTAAAGACTCCACGTGGTCGCCTGCCTTTCTCTATGCTTCCACCCTTTATTCCGGCAACCTCTGCCTCTCAGACAAGCTGCCGTCAACTGCAGGGCCACTGGGCTCTGAGGGAGCGGTCATACCTGCTCCTTGATCTCTTGGAGCTTCCGGCTCTGCTCTCTGATGTCATGGAGAAGCTGCAGGGCTTTGTCATCCTCCTGGGACACCTCCATCCGTGCTTGCTCCAGACTTCGCTTTAAGCTCTGCAGAAAGCAAAGGTTTTAATAGGGATGCCCGTGGGTCGTGTTCTGGCTGAAGAGCTTCATCAGGACAGCTGCAAGCTGCTCCGAAGACACCGGCATGGTTTCGAGCGACAGACCAGAGCGGACACCTCCAAGTGGTTGCTGATTCCATTTTTCGCCCTGTAAAAGCCACTTGGTGGAAGAAACGTCATCGAAAGCTCACAACCTTACGGGCCGAGCCTGAAACTCTACCAGCTAGTAGCCTGGCGTCATCTACCTATCCTGGCAGATACTTACGTGTATGGTCAGGACTGAAAACCAGTAAGATCCTGTGTCTCTTACAACCACCACCTCCATGACTATCTAGTGTATTCCAGACTAGAAAAAGCTCTTCCAGACTCTCAAGGGCATACGTCTGTTTCAAAGAAGCAACCGTTCATCGCCTATGTGGCTGCCATTTCAGAGTCCAGTAGACTATCTCCCTCCTGACTAGCCTCCGAGATGCCTATCACCCATCCGCTCCCCTCTGTGCTCCAATGGCACTGACAGAGACATCTGAGAGACAGATGGAGAACTTCACCCACCACTGAAAGGTGGCCAAGTCTGGAACACAAACAGCGCAGTTATTCGTAATCAGCCACATGCCATAGATTTCCTCTCCCATGTGTAAAAAATCAAAGACTTTATAAATGTGTGATTCAACCTCTTAAGATTGTTTAACAGGGCACATTAGAGAAACACCTGAATGAAAAATTCCACGAGACAATGGAGAAGACAGTCTACGCTTGTGAAGGAAAGGAAAAAAAAAATGGAGCTGTATGAGAAATAATGACAGAGGATCTGGATCTCAAGGGCTGAATTTCCTCGGCACTACCGTGCTTCTAAATTGAATAAAAAATTGATTTCCAACAGATTCAAATTATGTTTTCTGGTACAGATTTGGGAGTTTAGTCCTCAGAGCTGATCACGTTGACACAGCGTAGACCAGAGAGGTTGGGGCAGGAGATGTCAGAAGTCTCTGCAGAAGGCTTTAGTGACAGCTGACTCCCATCTCCAGGACCTGTGCTGCCCAGCAGCCAGCATGGGTTTTTTGTTGAAAACCGGTTCCTTCCTAGGGACCTCGCACCTCACTCCTGCAATCTTTGCTACCCTGTCTGACTCTACGCTCTGCCATTGGCTGTGATGTGCCTCATGGAGCTGTCATGAAACAGGATGAGACACACACAACAGGAAGTGCCGCCTCCGAGGGAAGGGGGGCTTTGGGGAAGGCTCACACTGCATTCTGTGATGTAGGTGGCAAGGTCCTGCTCCAGGAGGGATCTCTGAGTCTCAGAGGCCTTCAGTTCCACCTCCTTCTGACTAAGCACAGCCTCCACCTCTGACACTCTCCGATGTAACCGGGTCATTTCCTGCTCCATCTGAAATAAACACATGGATGGGTTAAAAGGGCCCAAGGAGGTTTCGTGGGAGCAAGCACATCTCAAGCAGGCCCCTAGGCCACCTGGTGGTCTGGGGTCGGGGGGAGGGGTTACCGCTAATTCGCCAAGAGCTGGGATGGAAATACCATTGCTTCTTCGCCCAGGAGCACACAGTTCTTCAAAAAGACAGTCACCAAACGCTAGGTCACTCCTGTCATCCAAGTCCCGCTTCGCACGATCACTTCTCTAACCCACTTAGCAAAAGAGCCACCATCATTTTCACCTTTTTTTTTTTTGTTATTGGTTTGGCTTACACAGATGTCACTTTAATTTTATATTTTATCCTAAATCCATCTTGATCCCCCCCATCTCCTTGCAAAGATCTAGAGGAAAGATCCAGAACAAGGCTGAGGGATAATTATTCGTCTGCACTCTTAGGAGTCCCACACAAGCAGTGGTTTTTATTAAGTTTTCAGAGAGTTGCCTCTGGGCAGGAACAGTGAGTATTAAGAGACGTTGAGCATAATCAACACAGTGGCCGCCGTGACACAGGCAGGAGTTTAAAAGACTAGGAAGAGAGACTTCGCCTCAATCCGAGCAGATGGGAAGCATCTCAGCCACAGGTGAGGACCCAGGCCACCTGCTGGAAGAAGCAGACATCGGGCTGGGTCATGCTGAGACACAGGCTGTTTTAAATCCAGGGTCTCCTCTGGTTAAGATTTAAAGGATTTATGGCAAAGTCTAGGCCCGAATTCATCTCCCTCTGAGCTGCTGGAGGTGCGGCTTCAGCGAGGGATCAGGAGGCTCAGAGCCAGCCGTGGCCCCCGGCGGGTCCCTTGGCATATATTGGCGGGAGGATCCTGGAGCAAGGACGGAGGCCGGCTGCGGAGATAAATACCTTGTGACACTTGTCCTGTGAGTCTTGCAGCTCTTTGCTTTTGATGAGAAGTTTCTTTTCCATGGAGCTAGTCTTGGCAGGGGAGTCCAGACCCGACACAACAGACCTAAAGAGAAACACAATAATTAAAAAAAAGTCAAATGGTATGCCCGTCAGCCCGGGAGCTGTGTTCAGACATTGCAGCAGAAACGGCAGTCCTGCCTGCATTCTGCTGCGGAGCTGGCTCAAGCATTTTCTAGTAGCATTAAAACCAGGGGGCAAGGAAGTAGAAGGAAGCATGGACTGTGGCAGGTAGACTTGGTGCAGAGTCAAGGGAACCTGGAGCCAAAACTGGCTTCTGGGAGCCCTGGTTTGCAGAGCTGTCCAGCGGAATGATGAGAACAGAACTTGTCACACAAGAAAGTGTGAGCATTCAGGGCACAGCCTTTGGCCTGTGTTACTCCTTTCACTGACACACTCAACAGGTACGGCTTCAACACTCACTGTGCCACCGGCGAGGCACATAACACACGGGGTCCCCGCTCCTCCCAAAGCTGGTGTTCCAGGGAGAGCAGACACTGCACCAGGAAGGTTCAGAAACAAAAGGCTTACTGCTGAGAGAGACTTGAGAGGAGGAACAAGCATGTGGTCCAATGACAAAGTGGAACGAGAGAGGCTGGGGACAAGAGGAAGTGTGACCCAGGAGGGCTTCTGAGAGAAGGTGGCATTTGAGACCTGAAGGATGAGAAGGTTCTAGATACAAAAGGATCTAACAGGAAGGAAGCAGCGGGGACAGGGGACGGCAGCTATGCTGGCCCTGAGGCAGGACAGACATGACCGAGCGGTGTGTTGTAACAACACACTATGAAGTCTGTCTGTTCCTCCCCCAAGCTAGCCAGTTCCATTCTGTTGTGTTCACTGTAAACAGCCCATGCTTACGGTGATGAACCAAATGGCGTGCTCATTCCCTTCCCCCAAATGTCGATGTCCAATCCAGAAGCTACAAAGACCACACATGAACACTAAGTAGCTGAGATTAAGTTAATGATCTTGAAATGCAGAGATTATCCTGGATTACCCGAAAAGTCCAATATCCTCCCCACAGAATCCTCATAAGATAGAAACAGAGGGGTAGGGGCCCCACAGAAGTCCTCATAAGATAGAAACCGAGGTGTGGGGGACAGAAAGCCAAGCACAGAGGCAGGGCACAGAGATCTGAACATGCTACACAACTGGCTTACAAGATGCAGAGGCAGGCTAGGACTTAGAATCCCCAGGGCCCACATAAAGCGCAGCACAGAAGTATGTATGGGTAACTCAGAGTTCTACAGCAAGGTAGGGGACAGAGCCAAGAAATTCCCTGGAAGTTCCCAGGTCTATGGAGAGCAAAGTAAGCGGCCTATCTCAAACTAGGTAGAAAGCAAGGACCAACAACCAAAGTTGTACCCTGTCCTCCACACAGGTGTCATGAGGCGCACATGACACCATACACAAACATAAAGATAGGGAGCCACCAAATCACAAATGGGCGGACCCTAGGAGCTGGATAAGATAAGGAGGCTAATTTTCCTCAAAGCCCACAGGCAGAGTACAACCTCATTTAGGCTATCTTGAGCCAAAAGAAACTCACATGGAACTTGGAACTCCCAGAACTGTGAGATAGTAAGTGTGTGTTCTTCCACGCCTCTGGGCCTGTGCTGACTTGTTACAGCACCAGTGAGAAACTCAGACACTCACCCAGCTGTGACGTACCTGGTGCTCTCTGAACGCTAGACACATTTTAATCCTTTATTCCCCACAACTCACTGAGGAAGACACAACCTATTATCCTCATGTTACACATGAAGAAAGTGAAGCACACAGAGATTAAAGAACCTGCTGGTTGATAAATGGTTTCTGTTAGTCTACAGGAAGCGAGAGACTGAAAGGCTAGATGCCCCTGATGTCGCACTTAGGAAACATTATAAAAATTGCATGACAAGCTATGTAGGGAGTGGACTAGAAGGGCTCTCTCACACATGTGCGGGTGTCCTGGGGCTAACTAGGGATGGGCATGAGAATGAGTACCTTGGTGGGGGTTTAAACACTGGGTGAAGAAAAAAAGTCAAGGCCATAGCAAGCAACCGTTCTTATGCATGGAGGGACATGGTGGTGCCCACTGCTGCCCACAGTCCCATCTTGGTTGCCTTGGTAACAGGACTGCAGGAGCTGCTTACTGATGAGCACTCGGGGTCTTCCCAGCAGGCGCAAGTTCTGTTTTCTGGTGCCCCAGACTACTTCTCGGCCTAAAAGAGATCGGCCCCCTGCAGCAATGTGGAACACCTCTCTGCTACAGCTGCCAACCCAGTGACAGGGCGGTGAGACAGCTCTCTGTACGCAACAACAGGAGTCAGGCTGCACTGGGTACAATCTGACCCATCACTTCCAAGCTGTGTGGCCTCCCTAACCTCAGCTGCCGCACCTGTAAAATGGGTAATTATAGTGCACGTTGAGCCCCAAGCACAGCCCTGGCACACACAAATGCCAACCATTACTATGACTGGTGCCATTTTTATTACAATCTCTACAACTCTGGAAATAGCTCGTGCCTCACAGGCCTAAAACAGTTGCTTGAAATAATAACACTCAGGGGGCTGAGCGTGCTGTGCGCTATTGTTCACATCAAGACAAACAAGGATTATTCATAGAAATGGGCAACAAGGATTAAAACCCAGAAATAAATCTTTTTTAAAACTCTCACATTGAGCTAGAAATTTTAACACTTCTCACAAGCCTATATACTAGCCAAAATACACACAGACACACACACGCACGCACGCACTCATGCACGCACGCACGCACGCACACACCCTCTTCCTGCTTTCACAGGGATTGTTTGGGATGGCCTTGAGTTTCCCTCATCCCTGATTGTACTTTGGTGGGCAGGTTAGAGACAAGTCCCAGGCCACCTGAGCAGGCGGAGACAGCCCCTGGTCCTGTAGTAATCGAGGGTCACCCACATGTCACAAAGGGACACACAGGATATATATCAGGGACGACACACAGGCCACAGTTCTTACTGGCACAAACTACTGCATGGGTTTTCTGATACGGAGTGGGATGTGGCTCACAAAACCCAACGACACAAGGAGGGCGGGCTCCAGTGGAGCTTGATGTGGAACATTCGCTGCTGTGGGTACAGAACAGATTGCTTATTCACCAAAAGAAAGAAAGAAAAGGCGTTTCTAGGCCGCTGGTTAATGGGCCCGGGATGAGAAGAGGAGCACTCACGGGAGACAATGCAGCCGTCACCCCAGGTCCACTCGCTCACTCTGCTATTTTGATGCCTGACAAACGCTCACATTTAAGAGTTCTAAGTACAGCAATTAAGAGCTCTTCAGAATAAATATACTAAAGAAGCCTCTTTTTTAAAGAATAAATAAAAATCACATATTAAAAAAAAAAAACATTCCTGTAGGAATGCTGCAACTAAACTCAGCCCCGGACAACAGCTGCGGACGGAGGGCAAGGGTCATGGAAGCTTTGGGCAGCTTCCTGTACCCTGACCCATCACCCGGAGGTGGCATGCTTGTAGCCAAGGCTGGGGGCAAGGCCAGTTCAATCTGGGCAGGAACAAGGGCTCGGCCTGGCAGTGTCATCTTCGTTAAATTTCATGATGACTTGGAAGGATAGTCAGGATTGGAAGCGGGGGTGCTAAGGAGAAGAGCGTGCGTGGCTTCAAGTCGAGGCTTTCCAGTACGGCCAGCCTGGGCGTCTGCTCCCCTGTGGCACCTTGGTTATGTGAGGACAGTACTTTGTGTTCCTCCCTGAGCGGGAACTCAGCTCTCAATTCAGGACAAGTACAAGCGTTAGACAATGATTAAGAGCAGCATTCCAGCCGGGTGGTGGTGGCGCAGCCTTTAATCCCAGCACTCGGGAGGCAGGGGCAGGCAGATCTCTGTGAGTTTGAGGCCAGCCTGGTCTACAGAGCGGGTTCCAGGACAGGTTCCAAAAACACAGAGAAACCCTGTCTCTGAAAATTAAAAAAACAAAAAGCAACAACCAAAAACCAGCATTCCATATCATTTAATGTGCCCATTGCTTTAGGTGTGTGGCATTGTGTACATGTGTGCGCCATGATGCACACGTGTGGAGCAGGGACAACTTGAGGGAACTGGCGTTTTCCTTCCACCGCGCGGGTTCCCACAACTGAAGTCATGCTTATCTACCGGCTGAGTTTGCTTCTTTAAGACAGGGTCTCCCTGTGTAGCCTAGGCTGGCCTCGAACTCACGATCCTTCTATTTCAGCCCGCAAAGGGCGGGATTTTAAGATGCCCAACTTTGCACGTTAATTTAATTACAGCATCTCCATGGGTTTGTAAGGGGAAAAATGTAGAGCCAGGTATAGCACAAAACCCTTACATGCCATTTACCTTTCATGCAACTAAGGTAATTCAGCTCACAGTCCCTGTGACAAGCTCCAACAGAAACTGTTCAAAGAGTTTTTTAAATTTGTGTGTGTGAGTGTTTTGCCTGAGAGAGTCTATGTGTACCAAGAACACGCAGAAGCAGAAAGAGGCCAGGAGAGAGCGAGCATCAGGTCTCATGGAGCTGGGGTGAGAAGCGGTTGTTATAGGGGAAGCCCCAACCAATCACCTTGTTTATAGGGCAGGGTCCCCTGAGGATATTTTTTACTTATAAATATTGCGGGTGTGCTCCCCGCCTTCCCTTCTTCTGCTTTCCTGTTCTCCGCGGGAACCTCGGTTCTGTAAGTCTTTTCCTTATTAAAGCTGAATATTTTATTATAATTTCTGTCTGCTGCTCATTTACGCCGTAACAGGTTGTAAACACCATGTGGGTGCTGGGGACCAAACCTGGGTCCTCTGCAAAAGCGGCAAGTGTTCTTAATCATGGAGCCCACTCCCCAGCCCCCAAGTATGCATTTCTCAATGCAGCAGATACACATGCCCCAGCAGCCATTCCGAAACATCAGCACAATCCGTTGTCTCTAAGAAGCCACTAGCCATCTTTCTGACTTGCAGCGAATGCTGTTTCCTGAAACTGACCGTAATGTGAACGAACCTTAGCTCGAGAGGCCTCATCCAAGCTTGCCAGAGAGCAATCAAACCATTCACACAGCTCTGTTGT